GAGCACCCTATTTCTGTACTGGCCCTTTTCTTCCTCCTCCCTTCTGTTGGGCACACCCGACTTCTCTCACACCTCCGGTGGTTCCTGGAAGTTTTGAGATGGCAGCCTGTGTTTACATGTATTCCTCAGTCAGTGGGTTCCTGGCTGGGGCAGTCAATTCACTTGGCAACCTTGTCCCTCCTGCCCAGTCTGGTTTGGCCTGGGAATCAGTAGCAAGAACGGTGGAAACTGTGAAGAGGAACCGCGTGCTACAGAAAGGCCTAGAACTCATGTCACCGAATGGTGGTCCTCAGAAATGCCTGCTGCACTTTGAAAACCAAGAGCGTCTTTTACAATGGTTTGACCCTGTCCTCCTGTCTCCATGACTGGAAAAGAGGACTTTGTGGAGAGCATCGGACCCTTGCTAAAAGTGGGCTCGGAGAAAAGGAAGTGGTTTCCTTCGATGAAAGAAAGACAAGAGGGCTATGTGAACTGCTTATGGTTCAGGAGGGAGTTCACTCACCGCCACCAACTCAATCCTGCATCACAGCTCTTCCCTACAGGACAGGGGAGAATTGCCCCCATTGGATTGATGAGAGATTTACTCTTCATGGGAGTAAATCACCTCATCGTTCTCCCTTGGGGTAGCTGGTGATTTAGAACTGTTGACCTTGCATTTTGCAGCCCAAATTAGAAACTATAAACCTGAGACACTAACTTAAAGGTGTATGTAGTTCCTTAAGGCTCACAGGGTCTATTTGTTGTTATTCTGTTTGCTCAGTTACTATTGCTACGTAACAAACTTGTCTATAGCTAGGAGCATACGTGTCCACTTTCTGATGTTCATGGACCTTCTGGGGCACGGATTTCTATGGAAAACAGAGGAACTGGCTTGTCCCTGCTCCGGTCTAAGGTCTCCATTAGGAAGACCTAAAGACTGAGGTGATTTGAAGGCTAGGTAACAAGCACCATCTGAATGTGCCTTTCCTCCCATGCCGAATGACAATTGAAGCCCAGGCATCATCAGAAGTCGGGACAACACTCCTTGTCATTCTATTAATCAGAAACACTTCACAAGTCCATCCACCCGTATCTTTATGACAGGCCTGTCAGAGGCGCATTGCAGACGAATAGGTATCCATCTATCTCTCAGGGACATAAACGATCTCTTTAAGAGAGGATGCCAAAGCCACATCGTATAGAAGTAATGACGTTGTCAAAGTCATCTTTGGAAAATATACTCTGATTAAAAAAAGAAAGCAAAGTTGATTCCAGCTTGTAGCAAATCCTTGCGGTGTAGATGAAAGTTGCTCCTTCAGATTTTCCAGGCTGTAATTTTTATTGTGTTGGGTTTTT